TTATTATTAACGTCTCAAACCAGTTCTGGATTTTATCATTACAATGTGTATAATGATTATTTTAAATTAATGCATTCACTTATTCGCTTAGTCTATAAAATGTTTCGTGTCGTAAGAATTGGAAAATGCTATTTATTTCTGAAACAAAAATCTAAACCCTGGTCCAAGTGTGTCGAACTGTGCTGCGCGTCAACCATCTCACACACACACACACGACACACACACACACACACACCACACACACCCACACACACAACACACACACACACACACACACACACACCACACACACACACACACACAACACACACACACACACACACACACACCACACCACACACACACCACACACACACACACACACACACACACACACACACACACACACAACACAACCACTCGCTCACTCACTCATCACATCACTCACCTCACTTACTCACTCACGATCCACACACACACACACAGCCTCACTCACTCACTCCACGCACACACACACACACACCACACACACCACACACACACCACGCACACACTCACTCACTCACTCACACACGCACACACACACACACACACACCACACACCACACACACACAACACACCACACACTCACACACTCACTCACCCTCACTCACCTCACTCACTCACTCACTCACTCACTCACCCTCTGCACTCACTCACTTCACTCACTCACTCACTCACTCACCTCATCACTCACACACACACACAGCCTCACTCACTCAACTCACACACACAACACACACACACACACACACACCACTCACTCACTCACTCATCACTCACACACACACACACCACACCAACACACACAACACACACACCACACACACACCACACACACTCCACTCACTCACTCACTCACTCACTCACTCCATCACTCACTTCACTCACTCACTCACACCACACACACACACCACACACACACACACACACTCTCACAGTTGCTGAGTGAGGCAGGCTGAACATTAACTGAGCGTGAGTTTGTTTAGATAATAGCTTTATTGATTTGTGATCGATTCCATTACAGTAAAACGCTCGGGACAAATAAAGGAGACGTGAGGACATTACTTTATACTTTATGCTGCTACAAGCACAACAAAGTGAGAGTTATTAATAACAGATGACCGTGCAGATGGTGCTGCGTCAAACTGTGAGCATGTGAATATTGAACTTGTCAAAAGGCCTGACACTGAGTGAGCCTTGACTTAGTCAACAAACTGTTGTTGTTTACAGTCAGAGAGAATCGACCTCACACTTAAGCTGAATGAGCGCAGATTACAGATCATGTATTATGCAAACATCCGCCTGCAACACACACACACACACACACACACACACACACACACACACACACACACACACACACACACACACACACACACACACACACACACACACACACACACACACACACTTATCAACATTTTAGCAAAATCATTTCCTCTTTCTGCTCAGGTGTCTCTTCACACATCTGTACTTAACACACACTTATCACCGTTAATGTGTTACATCGTTTAACACCGTGCAGTGTGTCTGTCTGTCTGTCTGTCTGTCTGTGTGTGTGTGTGTGTGTGTGTGTGTGTGTGTGTGTGTGTGTGTGTGTGCCTTCACACAGGAGCTAAATACTGCTCACACTCTCTCGGTGTCTCTCTCCCTCAGCAGGGGTGATACTTTTATTATAACTCACGTTTAATAAACGGCCAAACAACAAACTCCTGCTTTTGGTTGGCAACATTCCTAATCTTAACGTGGATAAATAGGGCCCCTTTAATTAGGACGTAGGGTGAGTATAGATAACTGAGACAGTGTTTTATATGATATTGGTTATCTGTCAGTTTTAGGGTATATCTGCTATTAAAATGCATTTGAATTCTTTCTTCATACATACATGGTTGATTTATTGTTAGTTACTAGGGGCAACATAACAAAGTTGCTGCCATTTTAGCATCTTTTTTTGTGTTTTTTGGTGTTGAAATAAAGATGAAACTGTCAGGGTTTGGCAGGATGGGTTAACAAATGAAATGGCAGTAGATTTAACAGAAAGCGAGCCTTTTAATTAAGAAAAAGCCACAAGGAGAAAATAAATGTCAAAATAAAACAGGAAACTAAACACAAAAACTAAAATCATGACAGAAATGTCATTAATTATACGATTGATTTCACGATTACGAGATAGTCGGAAACAAGAAAGAAGAATCATTACAGCTTCAACACTAGAACCGCCAGAGGTCGCTGTATACCTAGAACCACCAACGGGTCACATTTACCCGCTATTGATTTTCAAGGTACAATGTTCTTTGATTCATCATGTAGAACAGTGAGTTTTGATCGCACAGGGATGAAACTTATACCAATAGACTCTGTGGACTCTCAGCTTTTCATATGACATAGTTTGTGCAGATAGCATGAAGTTTAAAATATCGCTAAGAGTGCTGATTTAAACGCTTGGTGTTAGACTTGTGTTTTGTTTAGGTACACATCTCTCTATCTCTCTATAACTATCGATCTATCAATAACTATCTATCTATCTGTCTATCTCTCTCTATCTATCTATCTATCTATCTATCTATCTATCAATCTATAAGGAACCGCAGTAGACAAAAGGCGTTGCTATAGCAACACGTCATGTTTACGCTGCATTTTCTATGAGGTAAATATTACCCGCTGGCGGATATAGGTATAAATGGCAATTTCTTTGGCGATTTTTTCAATCTGACTTCATATTGACAATGTTTAACAACAGAGGGTGCTACATAACACCCTTTCAGGAAAAGTCACAGACTGGGAGACTTTAATATTTACTGAAAAAAAGTTACATGCGATCAAGAAACAGCTGCGGGTAAAATTGACCCGTTTGCGGTTCTAGTGTTAAAATGATTTTTCTAGTAAGATTTGTACACATTTCAAGCCGATTCATCCAA